ACAGAAACTCACGACTTGATAAATCCGTCGGGAGATACTTGAGCATTTGCGATGACTAGGTCAGCAACTGGACCAATAGTAACGGCGTAACTCTGAAGACCTGTCAGAACGCACAGCAATATATAGTGTTGAATCATGACCCGGAGGATGAGCGAAATGCAGCACATTCTTTTGCTTAAGTAGTGCACTTTGTATTCACCTTTTGGATCTGGACCTCGCCCTGCTTCTTTTGAATCTTTTCCGGGCCGTGGATCGAAGTTGTCGACCTAGTAGTATAAAGCAACCATCTCCAGTTGCGATATCGTCCCAGTGGCTTCCTGGCACTTGTAAGTCAGCACTGATCAAGTTGGATACATGGTAGAACGAAACGACAACACTACTTAGCTTCAGACTACATATGATACTCACCTCAGCAGCACGAGGTAGTACAAGCTCTGCGAATTTCTCGGTGCTGGCTAGCGTTTACAAGTGGCGTATGGATTCCCCGAAGCGTTGGAATAAGGTTCCAGACTCTTCGGAATGTTCTTGAGACAAAGATGAAAACTTAGCATCGCATGAAGAAGTAATATCACCAGGATGAACAATGCTTCGGGGTATTTCAAATGTGGAGCAATGGCAATAAGTTGTGTGGTAGTTGCTTAATGACTGAGTGTGGGCAGCAGAGTCGACTTATGTACGCTGGTTGCAACCGCCACGTGCACCACGTCACTTATCATGAGGATGTCAACGTACATCCAATGCACATTGCACACACCTAAAGGATGAAAGTGATAGATGGGCTAAGTTTTATTATATCTCGGTGTTTCAGGGAGCCATACCATTGTTCACCAGTGGGATTTGATTCGTTGGATGTCACTCCGGCGGCTTGTTGTCATCAAGTACTCGTGGTATGGAAGGCTTTCGACCTCCTTACGATCGAAGGTGTGAATCGTGATGACCACCGAGGCCAGGCGAGATGTCTGCAACTTTTCGGAGGCGCTGTTATCATTCCGGGTAATCTGCGAAAGGAAGGTAGTCGAGATGCAGACTATAATAGGTCACGAGTATTCCTATTTCTACAGAGCTAGGCACGGAACGAGATGTAAGGACGATCGATGCATACCTCTGAGGATCGATAAAGGAAGATTGCAAGGGACCACAAGTATCGGCGGCGCGACCCACGGGTAGGTACCAGCACAACTAAGTAGACTGATAGCAAGTCGAGTACATGTCCGGTCATCGGGGATGGTACAAAGGAATGTAAAATTAGCCCAGCTGCAGGACCAATCTTCGAGATCAGCTGTGATGAAGCAAATAGTTACATAGTCACCGATTCCAGTGGTCATGGGATCGTGCATGACAGAGTTGATGTAATTATAACTGATGACAGCGAAGCTGTAAACCATCTGTTGTACATACATAGATGACATCTCAAGACGCACCCCATAGAGGTAGAATGGATGTTGTCAAAGGGTCGGTCTGTTGTCGATCAAAGACATATGCATAGGCGATTATGAGAAGGACTCACAGGGAAGCATGGGGGATCATCAGCGTTCCAAGAACTTTGTCCCGCAGAAGAGTGTATACGGAGTCATTAGGTGCCAGATTCGAACCCGTCACATCACCGCCCAGTAGCTGCAGTAAAACTGGGACACTATTTGAAGTGCATTGAACACCGTTGCTGTGGAAGCTGAAATTGGTCTCATTTTTCTCAAGAATCAGACGGAACTTGACGTCTACGCCATCTTCCTTGATCAAAAGAGGAGGAGGCGGATATAAGGGGTATAGGTTAGTCTCATTCAGAGTGACCGAGTCTGAAGTTGTCCTGATCTCGGGGTCCACATCGCAAGAACCTGCATAACCCAAGATGGCCGCGGACTTTGTTCCCAAGTTCTGATCTGTATGCACCCAATAGTGGCCGTCAGGCTGATTGATCTCGAGAATGAAGGAATACTATTCTGTAGCATAGATCTAGATGGAGTCGACCACGAGTATTGGCCATCAACTTCGATGATAGTGAGCTTTATGGTTATAGTTACCAACCGAGAATATAAATGTCGTTAGGCTTGCAAGCCATGTTGACTCGAAGTACTAAGCGGAAACGATACCGCTCGTATGGCTGAACGTTGATATGACAGCGTCAGGCATATCAGGCCCCTCTTGATAACTCCTGACACCGCTGATGAGTACTGATTCAGGATTTACCTGTCTTTGGACTTGTATCTAGAGGCGATGGAGTATCATGATAATACCTGCAAAGTCGGAGCCGGTTACATCACGGGTATTGATTCATCGGGTTTGCTTGCCGATTCGATGATGGTGCTTGAACTCTTCGTTTAAATGTCAGAAACGCAATCCATTTCTCCGAGTTCACTGACCATGACTCACCATTATCAATATCATGCGAGAAACAGTATGGATCTTGTGTGTCGTAGACAATCAGTGCACCATCACAGTATTGAACTTGGACTCCATTCAGTTGTCAATAAATGAATGAACTGGACACGTTACCCTTAAGGTTATGACACTGGGGCTTCCTTGGCTTGCATCGCCCATCTGTAGTAACATCGTACTTGCGCTCTTGTTCATACCACAGAATAAGACAACTGCATCTCATAGACCAAATGAGATGTTAGTATGATGTTGAAGTCGCAATGGACACGATTTACCTGCACACTAAGTATACATAACATCCAGACCTTGTGGTCAGGGTTTGTAGGATTGAGAAGTACAAACAGCGGCGATAGATAGGGCTTTTATCCAGAGTTAATCTTGGCAATATCCGGCACGAATGAGGAGTACCGGTATCGAAGAAGATTTCAGTCTAGAAGAGCCAAATGACGATAAGCACAGCAAGTGTGCTTCGAATACAGCAGTGATAACATGCTGTACAGCTTATATCAGACATCCAGAGGTTACGACATCCGAGTTCCAAATTTTCTAGAAGAAATGCACAGCACTTAAGCTGTGAAACAAATGAGAGGATGGAATGCGCACCACGATACATGACTTAAAAGGATGGGTGCCCATCAATTCCCTACTCTAAACCAAACATCCATTTTCTCAGTTTACAAGTGACTGTAGTGTTATCTGTTTTTGAGTTAGTCTGAACAGGTATATCTCGTCAGTAACACTCTATCTGTAAATCTGATTACCTGCTTACCGACGACTTAGATACCATTTTGAGAATTCTGGCACTGTCAAGTACCGGGACTTCATACCATAGTCCGAAGCCGTCCCGCGCGTTTAGACTGAATTAATCCTGTGAGGAGTTATTCTCGTCAGATTTGATCGACAATGATAGGCCCGTCAGCTCACCAGTCATCTTTGCCATTATCAAAAAACTATTCATCGCACACATTGTCCACCATCAACCGTAGTGAAGGCTCCAAGCGCCAACCATGACATCCTCAACCAGTAAAATGCTAGCGATTACACCACGTCGGACGATGCAAGGCCATACGAGCCAAGTACTCGATATTGCACACCTGCACGACGGACGACGCATCATCGTATGTTCAGCAGACGGCTCACTTCGATCATGGGACCTGGAGAACGATGCACAAGTCGGCGATACATGGCGAGATGAGGGGCACAAGGCAGATGTGAAAAATATAGCGTTGTCTCCAAGTGGTCAGACCGTTGCCAGCGGAAGCGATGGTGGGACGGTGAGATTGTGGGACGTAAAGATGGGGAAGGTAATTGCAAGATGGATAGGACACACTGAGAATGTGGGGTCAGTGTGCTGGAGTGGAGATGGCGAGCGAGTCCTGAGCGGATCCTGGGACGGGACTGCGAGGGTGTGGGATGTCAAAACTGGGAGAACTGTCCTGGAAATCAAGAACGGTCACCAGTACGTGTGGGCGGTGGCATACTCGCCGGACAACACAAAATTCGCGACAGGCGGAGAAAACGAAAACGCTGTAAAAATTTGGAATGCCAAGACGGGCGAGCTGCTCAGCACACTCCACCAGGATCAATCAGTTCGAAGCTTGACTTGGACGTCAGATGGAAAGAAGCTTTTCTCCGGGTCATTGGGTCCGATTGAAATATTCGATACAGTCACTTGGGAGCAAATCGCCGTTCTCAAGGGCCATATTTTTAACTTGACTTTGGCTCGGAACGACCGCTTCCTTGCAAGCACATCAATATGGGATGAAACAGTATGCCTGTGGAACCTCAACACGAACCTCCCAGTATGCCTACCCTTCCAACACGACAAGGATGTGAGCTGTCTCGCTTTTTCCGCTGATGGAAAATCGCTAGTCACCGCTTGCGAGGACAACGTCGTGTACCTATGGGATATATATGCCATCCTCAAAGAAATTGGTCTTGAAGACCTGTTGTCCATTCCTGATGTGAGTTTAATTTGTGGGTAAAGACCATGGTCATTGGTCAAGGCTTAACTGGATTGAATCTCACACTCACAATATTGACAGGTCGTACCTGGAAAGTCGTTAATCAACGTACGTGACATGTTTCTTATTCGTTTCAATATCATTTACATAAGATCGTCATTCCAGGGTGATGCTACACGTCCAGCTCAAGGCGTGCTCAATTCTTAAGTTGTCAGGTCAAGAGTTGTCAAGTCCCACCGTGCCTTAGAGCCAAACAATTTAGCCGACCGGGTTAGGCTCCATTTGGGCACCGCAGCCACCGCGTTTACTAAACAATATCGTAACAGTTCTCATATCGTAGTACCAGCGTGCTCATTATGCAGCAAAAACGGGAGTTTCGTGAGCTCTTAACTGTCCTTTCTCATCTTCTATGTTGGGTATGTCACAACGCACTCGCCTCGAACTTGAGCACTTCGTTTTCGCCGATGATGACAATCATGACCACAGTCATTGCACTGCTGCATTTCTCAGCGCTGACTCGGACTTCAAGTACTCGCGAGCTTGAGCATGCTATCTGGCCCTGGCTCGCGCGGCCCATATAATCAACGGAGAAAATGTTTGGAAGTACCGGGTTCTAACCCTTTCTGGGAACCGAAATTAATGGTACAAACAAAGAGCTGACAACTCTTGACCGTGACAACTTAAGAATTGAGCACGCCTTCAGTCCAAGAATGCGGGTCGAGTACCGTTAGGGTTTTTCGATGGTATGCAAGGCGGCAATATTCATGTGCGTCATCGACCTTTTTTTTGAATAACTTCGTGTTCTGAATCCTGATCACTTACTCTCAGTCCTCCGCATCGCACGGTATCCATGACCCTTCTCCCGGTACCCATCCCCATCGTGCTCTCACATCATCTATAAAGATTTCACGCGCGCTCCTCGGTCACCTTCCATTGTTCTTTCCTCGTTCTCACTCCCCCACCAGCGAAGCAACCGAGCTCCAGCAACGCTCGAGGCTAACTATCTTTTCTCCTCGCAGTCCTCACACCGTTGACGTTGCTGGAGTACAGGACAGAAAAGTATGGCTTTCTTCGGGCGCATTTGAAATTTCTAATCGCGTGGTTTGATCATCCTTGTGCAGGCACTGTATGTTGCTCGGCGTCCAGAACACGAAAAGGCGAAATACATGCAGCAGCAGCAGCAAAGCCAAGCTCAAGGCCAAGCACAGGCACTGCCACCGCAAATTCAGCCCACCGGGGTATCAACGTCCGCAACACCTCCTGCTACTGGCCCTACGACACCAGGTGCAGCAGGTACGCAGCCACCACTCATCCCATTGTGGGCTCGTCTCGTGCTTTTTCTCTGTTGTGCATCGTCTCAGTATGCTGATGGTCATTAATACTTCAACATATGAACAACTATTTCATCTTTGTTTCTGGGCTGCACCAAGCAGCAGAGCCTCTGGGTGGATCCTGACAACATGTCTAGTCCATTACAATACTCAATGAACATAGCAGGAGTGTTCTTAGTCCTAGTTCGAAATCTCACCGCGTTCAAACTGACTGGGCCTACATGGAACCCAGATAATTGCACCGGTGCGACGGCAGTATAGCTGTGAGCCCGCACATTGTCAATAGAAGTTGCGATACAGAGTCTAACATAACACGATCATTGTCAGAGGTCTGTCAACAAAAGTTCAAGTTCGTCGGCGTTGCAGAAGAAAATGATAGAGTCGAGATTTGATTCATATAAGGATGAAGGAGGCATCGTAGTGTAGTCGAATGATTGTCCTGGTAACACCTGAGTACCAACGAGAACGGGAGTCCCCGCGGCCATTTGAGCCACAAGTCATAGCAGGAAGCCGTGCAAACTGCACCACAGACTGGGTGTGCTCGTAGCAACCTCCCTTCGTCGTCGGCATATTGTTATCAACCGCCTTGAAGTTGTTGGCCTTAGCGGGGGAGCAAAGCCTTGGGTTTTTGGCCCAGTATCCGGAAGACAGTGGTGGAAAATTTTAAACAGGAGTTCAGCTGGAAAGCGCCAGTGGTAATACGAGTCCCTTCTGCAAATTCATCGACCAGATGATCTTGTCCGTCTTTTCAACAGGTCGTTGATTACCTCATCTATGACAGCTTCTGGCAGGCTTAAGATCTCATGCAATACTGTGTCCAGCTGCTGCTGACGCTCAGCAATAATAATCTGGCCCTCGAGGATGATGGTAGGGTGGTTGATGTTAGGGAATATGGTATGGAGTATTAAGGTGGTTAACTTCATTAGCGTAAGGTTCGCCACAGTTGGATAATAAACATACCATCACTTATAAAAATGGGCGATATTTTGCATTGCACTGATGCATATATGGTGACGGGGAAATTTTGAGTTTTGCATTAGCTGTCTTTATGTTGTTAGTAACAAGATCCGGTCAAGATGATTTGTAAAAAACGATTTGTCAGAACCGAAAATGTGATGTTCGGCTTATTCAATGGCCCTCATCACCATCTCAGGTTACCCCTCCTCTGGAAAATCAACCCGCGCAGCCCAAATCCACGACTTTCTCTCATCAGCTTCAAGCCCTCAGCTCAAAGTAAAAGTTATCTCAGACGATGACTTGGCCGTTGACCGCGTGTCATATGATGGTATTGTCCCAACTTCTTCTTTCCCTTCAGACTGACCCCCGAAAATTAGACTCCCTTCAAGAAAAGATCGCCCGCGCAACTCTCTTCACCGCTATTACAAGGCACATTGCCAAAGACACGATCCTCATCGTAGACGGAATTAATTACATCAAGGGGTTCAGGTACCAACTGTATTGCAAGGCCCGAGAGGCTGGAGTAAGGGTCGCTACGGTGTGTAATAGATCACGACATTCTCACTCGCGCAACTAACGCAGTTGAGAAAAGTAGGTCTATGTACTTGCTACGCCTGGTCAATGTCAGAAATGGAACGATGAACGAGGAGATGGGAAGAGATATAAACCTCAAACGTCAGTCTTTCCTCTTTCTATTTCTCCACCCATTCCTAACCTCGAAACAGCCTCGACGCCCTCATCCAACGCTTCGAAGAACCCTCATCCATGGTCCGCTGGGACGCTCCACTCTTCACCATCCCCTGGGACGACCTAACACCCCCACTCGAACGCATATCAGATGCAGTCACAACTGGTATCGTCAAACCTCCAAACGTCGGCACCCAGATCACACCAAAAGCACCCACAGACGCCCTCCGCACTCTGGAGCATACGACAAACGCACTGGTTTCTGCACTCATGGCTGCTCAGGTTGCTGGCCCACTGGGGGGACCTATCGTCCTCACCATCGATTCGCTTGAGCATAGTTCGAATACCAGTGCCAATGATAGCTCTGTTCTCCGTGTTCGCTTGTCACTCCCGCATCGTGCACTGACGCTATCAGAGCTGCAACGGCTCAAGCGCCAATTCGTGGCTGCACGCCGGAAAGCTGTGACATTGGGAAGCACGGAAAAAGGAAGGGTGGAGTGGGGAGAGGAAGGCGTGGGACGTGCATTTGCAGAGTTCTTAGAGGAGGGGTTGGGCGTTGCGAGGTGACTTGCACGTTAAGCATCCAAAACAAGAGCCTTGGTTTTAGAATCCCGGGAGTAATACAACACAGGGCTTGTAATATGTGGTACGCGCATCCAAGGTCAAATGATTAACTCAGGTGAACACGATCTCTCATGCAGTGTCACTTTCTCGTAGAATTTATAGATGAATCGTAGCATTCACCTTCACGAAGAAGTCTTCTCCTTGATCTTGTTGAACGGTTGTGCTGAGTCACACCTTTCCCAGGTGCCCTTCGCTCCTTAACATCTACGCAGGACACCATCGAATTCTGAAACGTTATACCCTCAAGAACCGTCTCGGATGTACACAACTATGGAGGCTCTGCATGTTGTATGCTCGTATGACGAAGAAACTGGTGTTGCTGATGCCCTGCTCTTTCAGAATGGTATAATTTTTACGTCTTGATGGTGGTGCGCCGCCGCGAAAACCAGGCCACCAGCTCTGCTTCACCCTCGACTCGTTCGGGTGCTTCAGTAAGCCTACTTGGTCAGTCGTCCTACTCTTGTACTTGGCGCGCACTGTCGCACCGGAATCCTTGGCCCGGTGTGTACCATAGACGTTGAGACAGCGGTTGGCGGAGCCTGGCTAGACAGGCAAGCATACAGTAATGGTATTTCTTACCGGCGACAAACGCCAAACTCCCATTCAGCAACGATGATCAAATCAAGTGAGCCCAGAACATCGATACATGCTACATTGTCGACATTACATCGCACCATCCTTCGTGGCCCTCTGGCACACATCATGCTAAGCGAGCATGTCAACACTGGGACTCTAATGCAGAGGAGAATGACGGGCTCACTCGGGCTCACTAGCAGCTGAAGACGCCATCG